GATGGACAGATAGACAGATGGACCAGTTAACATGGACCAACAATCTCACCAGTGTTGAAGGATAACCACGGTTGCCTTTTTTGCAATACATGCGTTCCTGTCTTCCGTCTTTGAATTATTGCAAGTGCGAACTGAGCAAAACAAAATCCTTACTGTACGGGAGAAACCGTACTACCATTCAGCCCCGTAACATTCTTTCCATAGGGGAAACTTTGGTCGCTCTGCGGGACGGGATAAAATTATCCGATCGGAATAAAATTTTGCACACATCCTTGTGTCATAGTATCGACAACATTTCCGACCCGGCCCGACGAATCCGACAAACTTTTCCAAAATGGACCACCCTACTGTACATTGCTTTTAATCTCGCGATAAAAAACTTAAATCACGTTAAAATAGATTTAAATTAATGCTAATAACGCGCTAAACTGACAGCTCTAATACACACACACACACACACACACACACACACACACACACACACACCTATACACATACACACAGGTATATATGAAAACCTATGCAGTGTGATGTTGACATAAGCATTGCTTATAGATGCACTCAGCGCACTGCACAGCTGTTTGATGGAATTTTTTTTCAGTGCAACATAAATCAGCACTATCTGCAGACTCGGCATTCTTAAGAAAATAAGTCATTGTGTCGATGAGGAAACGAAACAATGTGGCAAAAACGAATTTCTCCTTTTATTCAAACAGCGTTTCACCGGGTTGATCAAACCTACTCATGCTTGTCTGCTTTCACAACAGCTGTCACAAAGCACTTTCCAAACCATTTAACATTAAAGAACAATAATAATTCATCGACAATCCTCGTGTTTTTTTGTTTTTCTTCCATGTAAAGCCAATTGTTTCTCCTGCCTTTTGTTACTTTTATTCCCATGCAACTCATACCAAAGTTATATCAGTGTAACCAAATTTGGAATTATAGAAAGAATACAGCAATCAACAATCCTTTAATGCGGCAACATGTCACAGCGGATGTTACGTTGCTCTATAAATAAACCGGAAACAAAACAACAAGCGCGCTGCACAGGTCCACGCCCATGTCTGTTTTGCCAGCCATGGCAGCGCGAGACGCTGAAAACGGTTACTTGAAGAGTTTATGAATGGAAAGTTTACTTTTAAAAAGTTGCCAGATAGTTCCACTGACAAGACCAAAGTTACCAGTATGTTTTGCAGTAGTAAACTTGAGCTATCATCGTAGCACGTCAAGTCTGAAATACCACTTAATGACCAAGCACACAGCAGATGTGAGTACTCCGCCCCCTCGTCGAAGACAGACAGCTATGGATAATTTCAAAGTGAAGAAAATGGATCACACAACGAAGAACAAATTTGCTGAAGCCATAGCTAAATGTATGGCCACTGCATGCAAGCCTGTCAACATTGTCCACAGCTAGACTCAAGCTGAAATCATTCGCATTGCATCTCATGACTCCACTACGGATTGGCAGCGAGAGCCTCCATTACAAGCTATGTACAGAAATTGTACATAGCGGAGAAGGCTAAGGTACACCAAGCGGGAGAAGACACTGTTTCGGGAGAGAAATAAGAGACTAGGTTGATGAGCCTCTGGTGAATAAAGAGCAGGTAGCCTGTTGAGTACAATGTATGCCACTGACGCGATTGTTACTTGCTTGGGACTATTTTGTGTGGAAGGTTACCGTGTTCCGTGTCCACATAAATAACGGGGGTTGAGCTTCTCTGTGTTCGTCTGAC